TCTAGATGCAAAGATTAACTTTTCTTCTTGATGAAATAGAAAAATTTGCTGTTCAAGGTTTAGCCCAAATTGTGCAAGTTTTTTTAATTAATACTTTTGGGCATGTGAGAAATAGTTTTTCTCGGGTTCGGTTCATTGTTCCGGCCATTGAAAATGGGGAAGAACTTTGTATTCGGGTGTATTTTAGTTTTTTTTCTTCATTTTTTCTCATCCCTATCTATTACACTCCTCCCAAGCTCCAACCCCCTCGAAAAATATCCCCTTTTTTGAACAGGGATGTGTGGAGGTGGGGGCGGGCGGCGGGGTCAGGGAGATTACCAGATCACCATCTTCTCAACCCCAACAATATTTTACACTTAAGTTTTGTAGCCCTAATTTCTTTGTTTGCTTGGGAGGGGCAATGTGTGTAAACATTGCCCCTCCCCAGCAAACAAACAAATTAGGGCTACAAAATTTAGGTGTAATGTAATTGTTGGGGTTGAGAAGATGGTGATTTAGTAATCTCCTTGACCCCGCCGCCCGCCCCTCCTCCACGCAACCCTGTTCAGGCTAAGTTGGAGGAGAAAAAAAAGGAATAATGGTGGGTCTAACTGTGGGATGATTGGGGGGAGGGAGAGGGTACTTTAAATAGGAAAACAACGAGAAAAAAATTGTGTTTATTAGTATTTGTTGGTTGTGTGTTTCAAATATGGAATCTTTTTAATTACTTTCCCTCCCTTAGTAAAGAATACCCCCTAAAAAAATCAACGGTTAAGAATGAGGTTTTTATACCTGGTAACAAATACCCCCTTTTACAAAAGGGGGAAATCGTTAAAGAGACCCAAAATATGAATATGGTTACTGCAATAATCAACAACTATGAAGGAAAAACAAGAAACAAAAAAATTGGCTATCTGGGATTTTTTTTTTTCGGCTATCCGAGAACAAATTTATTTCGCGGCTATCCCGGAATGAACTTGTTTTTCGGCTATCCGGGTATTCATCTCCGTGACACACCGCCGACCTAACCTTGAGGCGGCAGATAGAGACGAGTTCCCGTCATGTTGGTAATGTTTTTAGGTAAAATTGAGAGCTAATCGGGCCGGGCAACTCACCGGAGTTGTACTGTAGACTTATAATATTGAATTTTTTTTCGATATTTATAAAAAAAATAATAATAACTCCCGAAAAGTAGTTTTTCTCCACTTCTTGGAGATTTTAAATATCTGTAGTCAATTATTTAACGATAGTTGTATGTGAGGTTTTTGCTATATTTGAGATTTTGTTTTGCTATCGTTGATTCTACTTTTCTGTCTGCGTTAATTCTCTCGACCAATCAGAGTTGAGATTAAAACTTGTCTGCTTTAGAATTCAATTTGTCTACTTTTATTACCGGCATTAGAAAAAGGTTGTCTAAATTTGACCTAACTGCAATGAAATTATTGTTCCGATTTTCGTTTCGAAAATAACGGAATATTTGTGTTCGGGGTGTTTTTTTTTACTTCAGGCAAAGTTCAACTTTTTTACCAGTCATTTTTGACGGATTTTTTTTTCATACCATTCAAAAGGTATTGCTGTCCTGAGCTTAATTTTGAAAAAATATATATTTTCACTTGTGATCATTTTCCGTAAAGTTGTGTGGGTTTAAAGATTGACATTTTGGCCGATTTGGGAAGTTAACGTGCGATATATTTCTCTAATAATGCGTAAGCGGAGATTTAATCCTTCTTAGAAATCGTTCCTAATGGTTGAAGGAAGCTTATGGCTCTTTTCCAGTCCTCCTTTAAAAATACCGAGTTTTATGTTTGTTTTACGTGTTATTATGGCTAAATGCGTGATGTTACACTGTAAAGTATGAAGAACAAATCTGTTCAGAGTCGTCGATTTGTTCATCACGCCAAGTTTCATTGCATCATGACAACGTTAAATAGTATGGCAAGCATTTTTTCAAAAAAAAATTCACATCAGTTTTTTTTGTCACCACTCTGTTCAACTGTTCTCAAAAAGCCGCAGAAATGGGTATAATTTTTTTTCTATTGTTTTTCGAAAATGTATGAAAATGGTATGACAAGCATTTTCTCCATACACTTGATGTATGGAATTGTATGATAATGATTTTTGTTGTATGGAATTGTATGATAAGCAGTTTCGGTGTATTGAGTTCAACCCGGGTAGTAGCTATTAATTTTGAAAATTAATTTTGTATAATGTATGCACTTCAAACAAACGCGAACACAAAATTGGTTGTCACAATTTTTATGCTGGATTGCATTTGAATGCTGATAGTAACCTCAACTAACGTATTTTTTGATCAATTTTCTCTATATAAATCTAAAAGGTATTCTCAAAGTCATATTTCCTCCCCCCTAAATCAATTGGGTGGTTTATCCCTGATATCTTTTATGGGATGAAAATTGGGATTTCTATTCTATTTTCGACCCCTGTTGCAAAAAGGGGAGATACCGCTTCTAAGTGCAAATTTCACATAAGCCTAACAGTTGAATTATATCATTTTGCAAATATCTGGTAAATGAGCGGTAAATGTTGCTTATTATTCGAGAAGAACTATTTTCAATTTCTGTTAAATCTGTAGATAATTTCAAGTAATTTCCGACCTGATGATTACGTGAATTCATCTATCAAACGATTGGAAAAAGCGGTAAAAAATGAACTTTCCATGCATAAAACAATGGATAAGAAAAAAACGAAGCAGAAAACTCCGAATGAAACAAAGATAGCAGGTTACTGTGCATCTAGGACCGAATGTTCCGACCACAGTCTTAAAAAAAGCAAAAATGTTTTCTCAAATTGGTGTCGGTTTTTTTCTGCATGTTGTGATTAAAAAAATCTGAGCGAAAAAATAGAATTTAGGCATATTTGAGAGTCATATTAAAATAGGTCAATGGGAAAACAGTTTTTAAGGAAAAAGATTACAAAAACAAGAAAAAAAATTCAAAAATTTTTTTAAGATTAGAATTTTTTTGAATTTTCAAGTTTTTCATTCATAAAATTGCGCTTAAAACTACAAAAACTACCTTTACTTGAGTAAAACTAAGTTTTCGCGGCTCAAATTAAATTTAAATAAGCTATTGCAAATAATAACTAGCTTACTAATTAGCTCGAAATTAGACCAAAAATCAAAAATTTCAAACCGGTTTTTCTCGACACTGAAATTTTTTTTAATATGGTTCAAATCACGACTAAAATGTTTTCAGTATGATATAATATCACTCAGACTTGTCCGGTGATTATATGTGGTAGCTGGTTTTGCGTGGAAAAAAAAACTAAAACACACCCGAATACAAAGTTACTCCCCATTTTCAATGGTCGGAACCCGGAACAATAAACTTTTGCGCGGTTGAGGTGTAACCTACAGCTTCTTACAAATCCACAGAAAGCCGTTTTAGAATTTTTGAATGCTTTAAAATTTATTGCCATCTTCGGGTCTAAATTTTGAAACAAATTGAAAGAAACTTTGTTCTGTTTTTTGCAATGTTTCCTATGGTCGATTGGAAACAAATTTTTTTCGGTCGTTAGGAAATAAATTTTTGATTGGAGACAATTTTTTTCTTGATTTTCTTGCAACGTTTACTATGGTCGATTAGAAACAATTTTTTTTCGGTCGTTTGGAAATAATTTTTTATTTTTGGAGATAATTTTTTTTCTTGATTTTTTTGCAATGTTTACTATGCTCGGTTGGAAACAAGTTTTTTTCGGTCGTTTGGAAATAAGTTTTTGTTCGGAGACAATTTTTTCTTGATTTGCATTGCAATGTTTAGTATGGTCGACTGGAAACAATTTTTTTTGGTCGTTTGGAAATAAATTTTTGTTTGGAGACAATTTTTTTTCTGTCTTCAATTTTTTTGCAATGTTTAATATGGTTTGAAGACAATATTTTTTCTTAATTTTGCGATTTTAACTATTGTCGATTGGAAACAATTTTTTTTTCGGTCGTTTGGAAAAAAATTTTTGTTTGGAGACAATTTTTTTCTTGATTTTTTGCAACGTTAATATGGTCGATTGGAAACAAACATTTTTCGGTCGTTTGGAAATAAATTTCTATTTTTGGATATAATTTTTTTTTCTTGATTTGTTTGCAATGTTTACTATGATCGATTGGAAATAAGTTTTTTTCGGCCGTTTGGAAATAAGTTTTTGTTCGGAGACAATTTTCTTCTTGGTTTTTATTGCAACGTTTACTTTGGTCGACTGGAAACAATTTTTTTTGGTCGTTTGGAAATAAATTTTTGTTTGGAGACAGTTTTTTTCTGTCTTAGATTTTTTTGCAATGTTTAATATGGTTTGAAGACAATATTTTTTCTTAATTTTGCAAATTTTACTATGGTCGATTGGAGAAAAACTTTTTTCGGTCATTTGGAAATAAATTTCTATTTTTGGAGACAATTTTTTTCTTGATTTTTTGCAACGTTAATATGGTCGATTGGAAACAAACATTTTTCGGTCGTTTGGAAATAAATTTCTATTTTTGGATATAATTTTTTTTCTTGATTTTTTTGCAATGTTTACTATGATCGATTGGAAACAAGTTTTTTTCGGCCGTTTGGAAATAAATTTCTATTTTTGGATATAATTTTTTTTCTTGATTTTTTTGCAATGTTTACTATGATCGATTGGAAACAAGTTTTTTTCGGCCGTTTGGAAATAAGTTTTTGTTCGGAGACAGTTTTCTTCTTGATTTTTATTGCAATGTTTACTATGGTGGATTGGAAACCATTTTTTTTCGGTCGTTTGGAAATAAATTTTTGTTTTGAGACAATTTTTTTCTTGAGTTTCTTGCAATGTTTACTATCGTCGGAACATTCTGTGCTCCTTGCCCAGAAAATGGCTACTGTTTCCATTTTCATTTTTCGGAGTTTTGCAAGTACACAATTTTTTCTAATATTTTCAAGACTTCGGGGCCTTATATTATGGCTCTTCTGTACTTTTGGAGACAAAAAAAATTTGTTAGGAACAAAATAGTCTCATTTGAAGTCCTCTATTGGACACAAATTCATTCTTAGGGCGTGCAGAATCCTCCACAAGCCAGGCGGTTTCAAAGCAATCATAGCAGAAACAATCGACGGAACCCCGCAACTTCTATCGATCAACAGAGAAGAGAACTGCCAATAACGGAACGCAAGGCCGCAATTTTGGACACAATTCTTAAAAACCAGGTGGTGGTGTTACGGGGGGAAACTGGAAGTGGCAAAAGCACTCAACTCCCCCAGTATTTAGTGGATGACTTAGGGTGCCTGAAGGTCGCGTGCACACAGCCTCGTCGGGTGGCTGCCAAATCCTTGGCGAAGCGGGTCGCCCAAGAGGTGAGATTCAAAAAGAATATTTTGTTCTATTCAAAAGCATGTTTAATCCGAACAACATTGAGCTCAACAATCACCAGGATTTATTTAATGTATTGAAGCTTGCTTGTCTCACGTGACTATGAATCTCAATGGTTTTTATTAGTAAAAGGCTTGTTTTTTTGAAAAAAAAAATTGTTTTGAAAAATGACATGTAATTTAATAATTCATGCAAAAAAAAACATCTGTGATGTCTTTTGTTTTGTATCAAATTTTATTCAACTCGAGTTTTCAAACACTCAAGTTCTAAGTGAAAACTTTTTAAATCATAAAGAGCTATTGATGATAAACTATATTTTGACAGGTTGGATCACCTCTTGGTACCAAGGTCGGCTATCAAATCCGACACGACAAGAAAGGTGACGACAGCACTCAAATCATGTTCATGACCGACGGCATTTTTCTACTCGAATGTCTCAAAGAAGACAATCTGCGAGACTATTCGGCTATTATTCTTGACGAAGTGCATGAACGAACTCTGAACATGGACACCATTTTTGGACTCGTCAAACAAGCTCTGAAAAAACGAACGGATCTCAAGGTCATTGTGACTTCCGCCACTATGGATTCCGGAAAGTTTGCAGAGTATTTCGACAACGCTCCTTCGTACGAAATTCCAGGTAGACAGTACGATGTTCAGGTTTCTTACCTCGACCAGGATGTAATTCTCCGAAGCATGACTCACCAAGTTGTCCAGAAGGTGGTTGGAATCCACTGGGGAAACGATCCTGGAGATATTCTGGCGTTCATGACTGGAAAAGAGGAAATCGAAGACGCTGCAGAAGAAATACAGCAAGTGCTGCTCGGCTCACCAGCAACAGGTTTCTATAAACTATCTTAAATCGTCATTTCTTTCATGAAGAATGATGCGCGTAGAAGTTTCAGCATGAGCTTTTGGTTGAGTGCGATTTTGCTCATTTCATAAATTTGCTGAATTCAACATGTACTCAATCTATTGACCCGATAGCCTTTTTTCCTCGGAAATCGACCTGTTCGTCGGCCTATAACAATCTCTAAAAGTTTGAAAATCCACCCTTGCGGGACTGCACAAAAATATTTTCACCAATTTTTCAAAAAGGTAGTTTTAGTCATACTGCAGAGGCCTCCATGCGTTTTATTGTGTTGATCTTTTGAATCAAGGGCTGAACAACAATATCTTTTTGTTTTGGATCTCATTTTTGTATATATAAGCAATCATCTTGTGATAATGTTTTTCTAGGCATGAATTACGTGATTATACAGCTGCACCGAGCAGTTGATCGAAATGATAATGATCTTCTTTTTGAGCCTCCCTCGCCTCAAAGAAGAAAAATCATTCTTGCCACCAACATAGCCGAGACTTCAATCACAATCGATGGTGTCAAATACGTGGTCGACTGCGGGTACGTCAAACAGAAAAAATACGACCCCCGGACCAAAACAGACAGTCTGACTCCTGTTAAAATATCCAAAGCTCAAGCTAATCAGCGAAAAGGTCGAGCCGGTCGAACACAACCAGGCGAGTGTCATCGACTTTATAGGAAAACGACCTATGAGGGATTTGACGAAATAAACGTTCCAGAAATTATGCGGGTTCAGCTAAGCCAAGTAGTCTTGCTTCTGAAATCGATAGGTATTTCAGACGTGCAGCGGTTTGATTTCATGGATAAACCAAATCTTGATTCAATCCGCGAAGCTGAGGCAGTTTTGGCACAACTGGAAGCGCTTGACCAGTCTGGAAACATAACTTCAATTGGGAGACGGATGATTGAGATACCTTTGGAGCCGCAACTAGCAAAGATTCTTCTAACGTCCATTGACCTTGAATGTTCTAAAGAGGTGATCATCATTCTAGCCATGATCAATAACTTCAGTCAGAATTTATTCTATCGTCCCAGAAAATTCCAGAAACAAGCTGACGCAGCAAAGAAGGCTTTGAGCCAGGCTGAAGGCAGGGCTGCGCCGTTAACACATTTTAATTGAAGCGTTTTTGCAACCGTCTATTTATGCTGCTCAAGTTGTTTTTTGATAACTTCTAGTTTTGCAATTTCGATAATTTTCAGCATTTTTATACGTTTTTTCCGTATTTTTGAATTGACTTGGTTAGATAACCTTGGTTATCCTTGTATAGATATTACCAGTTATCCGACTATCATAATTTTGGTTTTGACCATATTTAATGCGCAACCCTGTCTGAAAGGCGACATGCTGACCTACTACGAGGTTTTCAAACAGTGGTTCAACAACGACTGTGACCCCCAATGGAGCAGGCGCAACTTCGTGAATCAACAAGCCCTCGAGGAGGCTCTAGAAGTAGAAAAGAACCTACAGTATGTAGTCAGAAAAACGCACGGTGAAATCCGATCTTGTGGAAACGACCGCACTAAAGTGCAACAAGCTGTTCTCAGCGGGTTCTTCATGAACCGGGCTAAACTTATTCAGCATTCGAAAAAAGGAAACCTTTACCGTCGTACAAATAGTGACCTTGAGTCGGCGTATATCTCGCGCAAATCGAGTCTGTTCACATGTCCGCCCCAGTGGGTCATATTCCAGGATATGTTGACGTTATGTAACGGTAACCAGATGTGCAATGTAACGGCCGTCCAACCAGAGTGGCTGGCGAAGTATGATTTACTGTGAAAGAGGTCTTCAACAAAAAACTTTTAACCCCCCGCCTCACCACACCCCACCCCGAATTGCATTTTTTTCTTCAAATTAAACTTTTTTTCTACTATTCCTAACTGCCTTGAAAATTGGTATATGAGTTAGTATCCCATTTCAAACACACTCTTCATGCATAGCTTCGTAAAATCAACGATTACTGAGTAAAATTCATTCGTATGTCATGTGGGGTGGGTAAAGAAAAATTGTTCAACTCGAGAAAAATGATTGAAAAATTGTTGTCCCACTATATTAATTAACTTGACATTCGAGTGAAATTTGTATTTAAATTTTTTTCATTGTTTTTGGTTTCTTTTCAAACGTGTTTAAGTTCACTTTGACCAGTTGTGCAGTTAAATGGTAGCCTTTTTTCTATTTGTTTTGTCGAAGGTGTTTTACCTCCTGGTCAGGTGCTTACCTCAGTTTCGACAATTAAGATCGGTTTGTGATTGCAAAAACTAGGCAAGTCACCATGCGGAAAAAGATTAGAAAATTTTGAATGTTTCTGTTTTGTATTCTGTCAATTAGTGATTGTCCATAATTTTTTTAGAAGTTAAGAACTGTAAATAACCTCATTTGTAGTTAGCTTGACCGATTATGGATGAATAACAACTTTTTCGGAGATGTTTTTAAGTTTTTCTCAAATTATGAATAAAAGCCGACCATAACTATTGCAACCAATTCAAAACAAGTATTGTTTATATCAAATCATATTCTTAAATAATTACCTCTGTAAAAAGACTTAGAACTAACCAATCATGATCCATGACTAAAACTTACCAAAAATTGTTGGGCTGAAACTATTTATAGTTTCAGCCAGAGAAAAATAAATTTAACTTAGCAAGCAGTTGCTCTTTCTTGATTCTAAACCTCGCAAAAATACCAGTATATACTAGATCTATTGAGACTATGAGATATAAGAGAAAGATTAGGATCGGTATTAGACTAAGAAGTTGCATCAACCTATTCGGCCAAAAATAAGATAGCGTGATGAGCAAACGGTGTAATTTATCCGAAATTACTCTATGAGAAAATCACGCCGGACTTGAACTGACTATGGTGTTTAAACTTAGTTAACGCTATGTAAAAAAAAGACTTCCAAAAACATGCTGCTCATTGTAATTTGCAGTTAAACAAAAACTGAATTTAGTACGATAAGCACAATTTTAACTTTCGGAGAAATTGGCAGAAGAATTGTGTTCGGTTCTGGTTTTTTCTGCAAAAAAAATTGGAATCAATTTCGCACATTTATTAGGGTTTCAGGTTACGAGCATTCTGACCAACTTTGGTTTTATCAGTTTTTCTATTAACAACGGTAAGTCTGGCTCACTCAGAAACCATTTCTAATTGAAGCTTTTTTTTCAATTGAAGCGTGACTACATGAAAATTTAAACACTCTGAATCTAAAATGCTTGCAGGAAGAATATTTGCCGAAAAACAAATCAAAACAAATTTTTGTCTTCAAATTTACAAAAAAAAATACTTAAGATTCTGAAATAGGCAGTCTTAACATTTAGTGTTGTGTTAGTATTTAGTTTTCAAAATGCAGTTGTTATTATTTTTTAAATTTCTGCCTGTTGCCAAGTTTGTGCTTTCTGTGAATTGATTTAAATAGTCATATGAGGAACTGTTCTCAAAAATTTGCCAAGAAAAGTCTTCAGAATGTCTGATAACTTTACTATAATAATAAGCTTGATTCAAAAAAAATTGATACAAAAATTTTTTGGTGGGAATGTCAATTTCACATGCATCATTTGGTGTCAAGTAACGCCTTATTTTTACAAACTCCATTGGAAAGATTTGATGACTCCACTACAAGTTTAAAAAAAATAGAACTGGAGAAATAGCTCAAACTAATCATTCTAAATCTGCCAACAATCGTAGATTACAGTGCTGCCTTTTCCTGGCGTTATTTTCAAATGCAAAACTGAAGAGTAGATAAGACATGGATGTTTTTCTCATAATTACTGGATACAGGATTTTACTGGATCATACGAGTAAGCTGAGAAAGCAAGAACTAGATTTTGAACAACAAACGGAACTATTCAATGACAGAAATGAGGATCGGTGGCAAAAAACAGCACTGTTTTATGGTAGTAATATTATTACAAAAATTTGACTTTTGTTTTTGATTGAAACTAATCGACCAAAATCAAAAACTCTCTGTCAATTTAAGTCTGATATACAGCGATGATTAAAATGGACAAAATAAAATTTGAACCTTCAAAGGCAGTTCTCAAATTGGCTTAGGATGAAGCATTACTTCACCAGAATTAATATGGTGAATTTTTAAAAGAAAAAACCGCAAACAGAATTTTACACCAAAAAGGGGTCATTTTGACTTTTAAGTTATTCAAAATTAGGCTGAAGTACTAAGTTATTTGAACAGAAAGTTAAATTTTATAAAATCATATTACACAGCCCAAGAAAGTTATAGCAAAATGAAATCTACAAAAGTCTATTAAAGAGAATATAATTTTGACTGGTATCCAAAAAAGAACACATTTGTTATCGAATTTCAAAATCTTTGCTTTGAAACCTTTTGCGCAAAGTTTTGGAGATTTCACTCTCCTTTTTTTGTTGGGTTGAGTTATAGGATTTTTTTATTATCTTATTCATCACCATTGATTAACTGAAAAAAGTAAAAATGAACCCTTTTTGGGGTAAACAATTGAGTGTGAATTTCAAAAAAAAAACGCATCAAAATTGAGAAAAAGTTTTAATTCTGGTGAAAATAAAAGCTACTTTTTTCTCTTCACTGTATCATCCTAACCCAATTTTCGAAAAACGCCTTTGACGTTTCAAACTTTGTTTGTTTTGACTGAATATTCTAAACTACCACTGTACTGCTGAAAAATCACTGAAACTTACAAGATCATTTAGATTGTTTCAAAAATTTCTGTGTGAACTCATCTTGTGGAAATATTTAACGTTGCTTTTTTCAAATTTTGGCATAAAAGCTTGCTTAAAGTTGCCATACGTTAAATTATGTCAGTTTTCGCACTGACAAAAAGGTTTTAAATTGATTCAAATTGATTTTGGTTTGATTTAAATCAATCCAAATCGATTAACAATGTACATTTACGAACTGTAATGGATTTTCAATCGAATTTAATCAATCTTTCCTGAAAACTTTGAATCGATTCAAGTGACTAAAAAGTCTATTTATATCGGTTTGGATTTTTCGACTCCCAAAATATCATCAGAATATTACTTAATTCCACCCGAATCTTACTAAGTTAAATCAATTTAAACAAACCCATAAGCAGATTGATTTTAGTGTCTAAAAGTCTTTTTCAAACGATTTAAATCATTTTTTGCTTATATTAAGAAACCATGCTATTCCTCGATTTTTCAAATAAAAGCACACATGCCAGATAAATTGAAATCAAACCATTTAACAAATCATGAAAAAGTTCAAAATATATCAAATTTTGAGCTCAAAAACAAAGCTCAAACTTTTTTTCATTCTTTTTTTTTTTTCAAAAAAAAATATATTCTCCTCTTATATTAAATATGGTATTTCTACATTCCCTGTGATTTAACTCAATCGAGTTGAAGATTTTTTTTCGAAATAACTGGTAACTTAGGCCATAGCTATGGTTCGAAAGTTCAATAAACTTTACCCTTTTCGACTTTGATGACAAATTTCAAAGGATGGACACAAAATTGGTTTTCAAATTGTAACTGGGTCTGTTAGTCTATAACCGATTACCATTCACCCTAGTCTGTATGATAACAGCGTTTTTTCAAAGTCTTGTTAACTAAAGTTTTTGTGCTGAAACCAATATGGTCCAAAAAATAATAGATATTTTTAAATTTGTAATCAAAAAAATACTTCTAACTCTAAGTTAATAAGATAATGTATTTCCAGAAACCAAGTCTCCTCTCTCAATTACACAGTTCTGAAGTTTTGTTCGGAATAATGGCTTTGATCTATTGAGTTGTAGAGACATTTCAATTAATTTATTATCGTGTAACATTTTTGTGAATGTATGTCTAAGTCTAATCTTTTTTTGGTTAGTTCTCAGCTATTTTTTTCCTCAAGGTCTTATTCGAGACTTATGGTCGCACCAGATGAGTTGGGATGTTTCTCTAACTCATAGAGTAATTTCAGATAGAGTACACCCTCTGCTCGTCACGTTATCTTATTTTCGGCCGGATAGATTCGTGCAACTTCTTAGTCTAATACCGGTCTCAATCTTACTCTTATATCTCTTAGTCTCAATAGATTTAGAGTATACTGGTTTGTTACGAGTCGGTCTTTTGGAAAAAGCAACTAAGTTGTAAGTTAAATTCAGAATGCTCTGGTGCTGAAAATACAAATAATTTCAGCACTTACAAATAAGTGGGTTGTTAGTTAGATGGAGTGTGATTGGTTAGTCTTTAATATTTTATAGGGATAAATTATCTAATTTATAAACCAACAAAAATATATAGTTTGGATCAGGTTCCATATTTATGCTGCTCTAGCTGATTTTTGATAACTTCTAGTTTTGCAATTTCGATAGTTTTCAGCTTTTTTATAAGTTTTTTTTCCCTATTTTTGAATTGACTTGGTTAGAAAACCTTGGTTATCCTTGTATGGATATTACCAGTTATCCGACTATCATAATTTTGATTTTTGACCATATTTAATGCGCAGCCCTGTCTGAAAGGCGACATGCTGACCTACTACGAGGTTTTCAAACAGTGGTTCAACAACGACTGTGACCCCCAATGGAGCAAGCGCAACTTCGTGAATCAACAAGCCCTCGAGGAGGCTCTAGAAAGAAGAACTTACAGCATGTAGTCAGAACAACGCACGGTGAAATCCGATCTTGTGGAAACGACCGCACTAAAGTGCAACAAGCTGTTCTCAGCGGGTTCTTCATGAATCGGGCTGAACTTATTCAGCATTCGAAAAAAGTAAACCTTTACCGTCGTACAAATAGTGACCTTGAGTCGGCGTATATCTCGCGCAAATCGATTTTGTTCACATGTCCGCCCCAATGGGTCATATTCCAGGATATGTTGACGTTATATAACGGTAACCAGATGCGCAATGTAACAGCCGAAAAACCAGAGTGGCTGGCGAAGTATGAGTTACTGTGAAAAACGCCTTCAACAAAAAACTTTTAACCCCCCACCCCACCCCGAACTGCAATTTTTTTTCTTCAAAATAAAATTTTTTCTACTATTCCTAACTGCCTTGAAAATTGGTATATGAGTTAGTATCCCATTTCAAACACACTCTTCTTGCATAGCTTCGTAAAATCAACGATTACTGAGTAAAATTCATTCGTATGTCATGTGGGGTGGGTAAAATGTGAAAAACTGAATTAGCCCAAAATGATTGAAAAAATGTTGTCCCACTATATTGATTAACTTGACCTTCGAGTGAAATTTGTATTTAAATTTTTTTCATTGTTTTTGGTTTCTTTTGAAACGTGTTGAAGTTCACTTTGACCAGTTGTGCAGTTAAATGGTAGCCTCTTTTCTATTTGTTTTGTCGAAGGTGTTTTACTTCCTGGTCAGGTGCTTACCTTAGTTTCGACAATTAAGATCGATTTGTGATTACAAAAACTAGGCAAGTCACCATGCGGAAGAAGATTAGAAAATTTTGAATTTTTCTGTTCTGTAATTTGTCAATTAGTGATTGTCCATAATTGTTTAGAAGTTAAGAACTGTAAACAACCTCATTTGTAGTTAGTTTGACCGATTATGGATGAATAACAATTTTTTCGGAGATGTTTTTTTGAAATTTTTCTCAAATTATGAATAAAAGCCGACCATGACTATTGCAACCAATTCAAAACAAGTATTGTTTATATCAAATCATATTCTTGATAATTACCTCTGTTTAAAGACTTAGAACTAAACAATCATGATCCATGACTAAAACTTACAAAAAATTGTTAGGCTGAAACTATTTATAGTTTCAGCCAGAGCAAAATAAATTTAACTTAGCAAGCAGTTGCTCTTTCTTGATTCTAAACCTCGCAAAAATACCAGTATATACTAGATCTATTGAGACTATGAGATATAAGAGAAAGATTAGGATCGGTATTAGACTAAGAAGTTGCATCAACCTATCCGGTCAAAAATAAGATAGCGTGATGAGCAAACGGTGTAATTTATCCAAAATTACTCTTTGAGAAAACCACCCCGGACTTGAACTGACTATGGTGTTCAAACTTAGTTAACGCTATGTAAAAAAAAGACTTCCAAAAACTTGCTGCTCAATGTAATTTGCAGTTAAACAAAAACTGAATTTAGTACGATAAGCACAATTTTAACTTTCGGAGAAATTGGCAGAAGCATTGTGTTCGGTTCTGGTTTTTTCAGCAAAAACATTTGGTATCATTTTCGCACGTTTATTAGGGTATCAGGTTACGAACATTTTGACCAAATTTGGTTTTTTCAAATTTTCTATTTACACGTAGCTTAAGCGGTAAGTCTGGCTCACTCAGAAACCATTTCTAAATGAAGCATTTTTTTTCAATTGAGGCGTAACTACATGAAAATTAAATCACTCTGCATCTAAAACTGTATGCAGCAGGAATATTTGCCGGAAAATAAATCAAAACTAATTTTTTTTTCAGTTTTTCCAAAAAAAATACTCAAGATTCTATAACAGGCACAACAATTAGTCATGTGTTAGTTTTTAGTTTTCAAAATTCAGTTGTTATTTTTTCTCTTAGAAAGTCTGCCTTTTGCCAAGTTTGTACTTTCTGTGACTTGGCTTAGATAGTCATTTGAGGAACTGTTCTCAAAAACTTGCCCAGAAAATTCTTCCGAATGTCTGATAATTTTAATCTGTTAATGAGTTTAATATAAAAAAAATTGATAAATTAAAAAATTCTATATTTTTTCAATACTTGATGCAAATGTCAACTTCACATGAAACATTTGGTGTCAAGTAACGCCTTATTTGTTCAAACTCCATTGGATGGTTTTCTGAGTCTTATTGGTTTGATGACTACACTAACAATTTGAAAAATGGAACTGGAAAAATAGCTCAAACTAATCATTCTAAACCGGCCAACAATCGTAGAATACAGTAATGCCTTTTCTTGGGGTTATGTTCAAATGCAAAACTGAAGAGTAGATAAGACATGGAAGTTTTCCTTAAAATTATTGATTACGAGTAAGCTGGTCAAGCAGAAACTAATATTTAAACAATAAAAGGAACCATTTGAGTTATGACCTTAGTGGTTAACTCATAGAGTAATTTCGGATAGGGTACACCGTCTGCTCGTCACGCTATCTTATTTTCGGCCGGATAGATTCGTGCAACTTCTTAGTCTAATACCGATCCTAATCTTACTCTTATACTTTCTAGTCTCATGGTGTTTAACTAGTCTCTGCTAGGCTCAATAGATCTAGGGTATAATTGTTTTTTGCTGAAGTTCTCTTGATGAGGCAACTAATTTCTGCGTCGTCTTGTGACAACGACTGTGATCCCCAATGAAATCAATCTGATTTCAAAATGATTTGCTATGACGGGTTTTTCTGTATTCTGTAGAGAACTTGTTTTGTGTTCAACCTCGTCTGGGAATGGCGTGGAGATCGTGCGTGGAAGGGATGCCTTGTAACTCGGATCTGTACGTATACTTGAACATCGAGGTGGTCATTGGTCTAGTTCAATGAAGTCCTTTTCTGCGAAGTCAAGTCGTACTCTAAATCCTTTGAGTTGTGATTGTGGACGGCATATCGGTTGTGATTAGCCATTCTTTGTTCGAGTGTGATGGGATCATCTAGTCTTTGGATGTTCGTCTTTGTTGTTGTGTGTTGATCTATATACTGCAAAGTATAATTTACATTTTATAAAATCATATTAGTTCCGATTTTTAATCATGAATTTAGTTAGTTGTTTTCACAAAAGCGTTTTGTTTTAGTTCGGTTATTTTGAAGAGTTACTCACCCTTGAGTACCTCTTATTAAAAATAGAAGTGTGGTCACAAAGCGTGGATCTAGCGCGGTGTGTTAGGCCGGCTATAGAGCATGCTCAGGACGTCCTCTCTGGTGGGTTAGGCCAGGAGTGCTGTTGATATGATTTCGTGCTGTTTCTTTGAGAGGTCCTGTTATGTGATAACGTTTTAAGTTGGGTTTATGTTGGTCTTTCTTATGTTAATTTGGTTGTGTCCTTTTTTCAAAAATCAAATTGTTTTTGGTATGGGTTTGTCTTGCGACTTTTTTGTGTTTTTTAATTTCTTTCTTAGACTTTATAATAGTCTTTAAAAGAATAAATTATCCAGTTTTAAACTGGTTTAATCCGGTTTGGGTACCGTTGGCTTTCTTTTCTTAGTCATGCTGTTATTTTAAGATTTGTGGTGTTTAGTAAGCTGCGTTGGTTAGTTTGGTTTATTATATAATTCCTTTCCAACCGGGTTAAAGGAAAGTTTGAAACTTGTTATCGTTGTTGTTGAGTGTGAAAACTTGAAACTTAAAATCATTATTTAAACAATTCTTCGTGGGCGAGCTGTGCGAGTTTGGATAGAATTCCTGTGCGATTGAATGAAAATATCAAAAGGTTAGTACTGCATTTTCATTTTATTTATTTATTACATAGAATTTTAATTTTACTGCATTTGAGGGAAATTTTAAGTTATAAATTTTCATCGTATTGAATTTTACTGCTTCATGGGGAAAAATTTATAGATTAATTTACTACATTTGGTATGAATTTTATTACATCATTTAGTGCAAGATATTAATAAATTTTAGAAGAATTTTAACAAGTTTGTGTTTTTATTTTTCTTTTCTGTTTTTGTAGTTGATCGTGGTGTGAAGACTAGAAATATAAATCAAACATTGATAGAAAATGGTTAGTACTAATTTTAAATTTATTAGTGAAGAGTATTTTAAATTATACTTACCTGTTAATCATCTGGGAAAAAGCCGTGGGGAAGATGTTGTGTATCATATCTGATGTTGTTAGTAATTTGGCTAGTATGCGAATGATGTTTTTAGTTTGGAGCAGGGCCAAAGCAATTGAAGTGCTTTAATGATTTTTAGTTCTTCGGTGCCTACTGCAAACTGGTAAGGTGTGTTTTGAATGAGGTTATATATTTTGTGGTTATACTTAGTATCATGAATGAATTCTATTATTGGTATTTCTATAGGCTGGATAAATTCATGCGGGATAAGGAAGGGTCTGGATTCTTCTGCGTTAAAGGTTTTCGTGATGGGACAAAATATATACATTTGTGTTACTGGGTCATAATTGCGGAGGATACCGTGGAGGTTAGTATCTTTGATGCAATAAGTGAATTTAAAGAAAAATGGTGATGTGTATTTTGAGTTAAGAAACTGAAAACGATGGTGTGGTTGTCTTGATGGGGTATGCAAATCAAAATGATTTTGTATGAAACGATAGTATGTATATGTGTGAGTTTGCTTAGTGCGTAACATAATATCGTGGGAACAGTGCAAATCGCGTTCATGTGGTGCAAGGAAGTGAAAGGTTAGTGAAAATAACTGAAATTTTTCTGTGAAACTTTCGTAAGCTTGAATATCATTTAGTGCTTCAGATTTCTATCTAAAATATTAAGTGTGAATACGTATGATGTTTTGATGAAGAATTTTTCTGTTAGTTGTGGGTTAGCGAAGCGATCTTCATCTAAAAATTGGTCTTGATTAGTTCGGTTGATATTATGGTCGTAATATTCTATTGTAAATTCGTTAGCTCGGGGTGCAGTGAATGTTTTTAGTAATTTTTTATATGCTGCATAAGTAAATTGTCTAGGTGTTAGTGTTGCGGTGAGTCTATATAACATATTTTTGTTCTTTTCTATGTCGTCATGAGTA